ACAAAATCAACAAATTTTTAAGGCCATTCTACTTGCTTGGGTTTAGGTATTGTCACCTTTTGCATGACACCCCCACATTTGTAGAATTTATACGAAAGCTTTTGGCCTTTCCAAAAATTCATACATGGTCTTTAAACAATTCCTTGTGTCAAAATGATTATGAAACTTTCAAAAGTATATCACAAAAAACATATTCCCAGACTATCGTTAACTGAATTAGGTCTTTCTCGAATTCAAAGCACCAAAACAAGTTTGGTCTAACATGTCACTTTGAAACTAATAGTCTTACTATTAGGAAACACAAATCCAGTGTTCAATAGTCTACTATTTGGAACTTCATAACATGACCAGTAGTCTTACTAGGAATCACTAATTTCTCAACATGTGGTCAGTAGACTTTTTACTACTAGGAATCACAATATTTTGACCTATGATCAGTAGTCACTTTACCACTAGGAATCACAACGTCCTGACATAGGATCAATAGACTCTTACATTACTAGAAATCATCATGTCTTGACATATGATCAGTAGTCTCTCCACTACTAGGAAATATCATGTCTTGACATGTAATCAATAATTTGTTCACTACTAGGAACCACAATCTCATAATTGTGTAGCCAATGGTCTAACACCTCCTAGGAACTACCAGTTTTCTATCTCTGTGATCAGTGATCTTGTACTCACTAGGAGACACCAACATAAGAATATACTTGGAAGTTTTAAAAATTCCAAAATATATTCACCCACCCTAACAGGTTGTCTCATCTTTATTTTCAAGCAAAGTCACTTAGCAATCATACATGCTATAATTGACACAAGGATAATATACTAATTGCCTCTGATTAATTCAGAGATATTATCATGCAATCTTATGATTTCCTTTAATCATATTTGATCTCTCTAGATCTTCCTTTAAGAACCTCACAAGGCTTAAGGTTGTCAGGTGGAACAACATTTCCTCTTGTCACATCTTGAAGCCATTTCTGAAAAATTACAACATAATTTCACTATTCTGTGTTTCCATAAACTAAACTTAATACTAGAAAATTCCAAAGTCTAAAATTTAATTCAAAATTGATCTCACCACTTACCCTAGAATCGAACATGGTCAGGAAAGTTTTCAGAAAGACTGGAAGGGTCACACCGGTCCCACTTAAGACCTAGTTAACCTTAGATAAAACTTCCAAGAGCATGTTGACTCCTAGTCCATGAGAAACAAATTTAGAATTAAGTTTTCTAGGGGATAAATTAGGTTAAAACAAACCAAATTTACAAAACTTATAAGTAATTAAAAATTGCTATCAGAATTACACCACTCATAAAAGTTAACCGATACTCCCGGAACGGAGCCCATTATTTCTGAATAAAAATTAGAAATATTTTAGCTAATGCTAAAATTTGGTTTCTTTTCCTACAACATTTTGGAAATAATCAGATTATAACCAAAGACTTTCTCAAAATTGGTTTACTACCACTTTGGGAATAAAAAGATTTAAACCCAAAAATTTCCTCTAACCACAAAGGTGTGAAACCAAATCCATGCTAGTTTTTGGGAATAATAAAATTAATCCCCAAGACTTACTTTAAACCAGAAGGTCTATAATTTCTTTCCTTCACCCTTTCCTTTCACTATGGTAAAACTATTACAAATTAAAAATTACAACTACTACAAAAGGAAATGCAACTATTACAATTACAAATTATCTAAATCTGCAAAATTAAAGTTCATGGTTGCGTCCGAAATGGTCTGTTTAGCTAAGAACACACTCCTTCACTTGAAACCATCCTTTCGGATTGCCAGCTTATCTTTGTATAAAATACAATATAAAAAATAAACTCAGTGCTTTATTTCATGTAAAGGGGATGTGTACAAAACTTTATCCACGTTACCGCTAAACCTCCATGCTCATTGCTTATATTCACACTTGGATACAAAATGAGTTAATAAACCAATGACTCATATAATGCATATTACATAAGTAATTTAAACAATCACAATCACACACATTATGTAATTCAAGCAGCTGTAGATGTATTGCAGTTATAAGAATGTCATGAGTTTCATAACTATAAAATAATTACGTATATAAGACTATTATGGTCATAACACTGGCATTCCAACCATCAAACTATGAGCAAATAATCATATAAATAATAGAGTTAAATTCCAACAATACACAATAATGTTTGAAGTAATTCACTTGATTATACACATCAAGACATGAAAAAACTCACAACCAATACAACTATTAATTAATAGAATGAATACAAAGTAAAGACATTATAATACAAAATATTCCACCATGCACTAATACTCTCTTAGAACTCATCCACCTTATAATGCAACATAAATATTATCTTAGAAAAACCAAAACTATTTTGCTAGATTTTCTCCCAAAACAATCCTGTTTGGAGATTTTTATACTGTTGGAAACCTCTCGACTAGCCGAATCTCTTGACATTCTCAAAATCCAACTCTTTGTTTTTTTTTTTCCAAAAATTAATTAATCAAATTAAATTGAAATTGTTACCAAACTTTCAAAACAACATATGGAATAAGTAAGAAATCAAACTGAACTATAAAGTGAATAATTAAATTCACTAAAATTCTGAAAGTCTAATATTATTCCTTATTCCACGCAAAGGTAATCATGTTCAAATAAAATTAGTAGTCCAATTTACTAATTCCAATTTATTTTATTTTTTCATATTAGATATCATCTTTTCTCGTTTAGGTAAACCTATAAAGAAAGTTAGCTACGAAAAAAAAAAAATCAAACAAATTAAATAAAATAGTAAGAATCTTACATAATGAAATTTTTATTTTTATAAATTCCTACCAACTTAAATACTAGCAATCAAATAACTCGTGCAATATCAACTAATTAACACTCTCTCTGAGCCTTTGTTGTTAAGCGTTGTCTGTTTGTTGTTATTCGGTTAATTTTTATTCATATAGGGGATTGTTGGAAAATAATAGTTTTTTGGTGACTTTAATGCAATATTAAAATGGATGCAAATCCTCAATTAAGGTGGGGTAAAGTGGGTTTAGATTCTTTGTATTGAAATCTTTGTACTACAAAAAGAATGACCAAAAACCATTGAGGTTTGAATGAGAAATTGACTCATTAAGTTGGCCTCATAAAAAAGGTGTTGTGAAGGGTGTTAACCCTCTATCTCACAATTATTGTAGAGGAGAGTATTGATGGATATTTAAATCCCATTTTTTGTCTAAGGGTGTGAGCCTTTTGGACATCCAAATTTTTCAAAGGAAGGGAGTTATGGATGCTTCAAGGATGGACTTGGGCCAAGATTATAGTCTAAGTTAGTTATGAAAAAATTGCCACACATGCACACGGGTTGCCGCCTGCCCGGACCAAGCCGGGTTCGGGTCCTTGGTCTGTGATCTGTGGATCGTGGATCTTGGGACTTAGGTTTGGGCTTGGTCTTGAGGCTTGCTAGAATGGATTAAGTGTGGGGGTTGGGTTTGGCCCACCCATTTTAATCTTTTTGGGCCAAGCCAGCGTTGTCGGCTGCAGAATTATACACATTACACAGGTGTATAACACGTGTGTAACTCTTCTATAATAATGATGAATTATTCCGGCAATTTTGCAGGTTTAATATAGAATTCATTTATGCATTTGTAATGGGCCTTGATGGCAGGTGACTTTTCTTCTCTCCCTCCATGTGTGTAAAAGGAGGCCCTTTCTTTTCTTTTCATTACCTAGAATATTTGTTCTTATTGTCTTTAAAAGTTTTCCTCTAGTTTGTATATTATATTCTTCTTGAGAGAGAGTGCTGCAAAATTTTGTTCACCGAAGCTACTCAGTTGGTGCATTGTTGTAACTGGTCTAACCGTCGTATCCTGGGAGACAAACGTTGAACAACCTCCAGCACCCAACCGGTGAGGCGGCGAATCTGTTTTAAGGACACTGTCTAGTGCAGGCTACGGTTTGCTTTCCTTTGCTATTTTGTTTTATTATGTATTGTAATTTTCAGCATGGTTTGTTTGTTCTGAAATTTCAATTATCAGTGGGACAAATTAATTACGTGTAACGGTGCTATGTCACTAAGGAGGTTAAACCTCCAGCCATTCCTTTTATCAGTGATACCTGCAAGTGTAGAGGCTAAGCTGAGCTTTTAATGACTCTAATGTGTTATGCTGTTGAGCTGAGTATAGTAGGATACTCAAGTAAAGTCACCTATGTGAGTGTGAAGTGGGGTCACTTCTATAAAAATTGACAGAGCCTAATTTTTTAAACTATTCACTGAACCAGGCTAGTGTTCCAGGGCCAAACCACATGTCATACACCTGTGTAATGTGCATATTTCTACAACCCACAATACTAGCTTGGCCCAAAAAGATTAAGATGGGTGGGACAAGCCTAACTCCCACACTTATTCCATTTCAGCAAGCCTCAAGCCCAAGCCCCAAGATCCACGGCCCGGATTAGGCCTGGTCCGAGCGGGTGACGCACGCGTGTGGCAATTTTTACATAACTAACTTGGACCATAATCTTGGCTCAACTCCATCCTTGAAGCATCCACAACTCTCTTCCTTCGAAAAATTTAGATGCCCCAAAGGGCTCACACCATTAGTTAAAAAATGGGATTTAAATACTCATCGATGCTCTTCTCTACAATCAATGTGGGATAGAAGGTACCTTTCCTAACACCTCTTTCATGAAGCCAACTTAATGAGTCAATTTCTCATTCAAACCTTAATGATTTTTGGTCATTCTTTTTGTGGTGCAAAGATCTCACTACGAAGAATCTAAACCCACTTTACTCCACCTGAATTGAGGATTAGCACCCACTTTAATATTGCATTAAAATCACCAAAAATCCAATATTTTCCAACAAAAATATCATAAAAGTTGCCATTTTAAAGGCATATTGATAAACATATAAATGTATTTGAAGGTCACAACCCAGGAGTAGTTGAATAATCAATAAAGAAACAGAGCACTGAGCAGAAAAAAATGTTCCAACATATGTATAATATGTAAATAACATTTTATATATTTCAAAATACTTACGCATACCCAACTAAATACAAATTAAACATAAACCCAGAAACAAACTTATCTCCCTGAATTAGTAGAATCTTCACTTCAAGGAAGACCAACTTCCAAAGAAAAAAAAAAAACACCCTTTTGTTTAGCTATAATTGCATATATAAACAATCAAAAATTACAAAACATGTTAGGCAGCGGATGGGGCGGCAATGGAGGTAATGAAACTAACACCACCAGCCTCTGCCAATGCCACCATTATTTTGTCAGTGTCACTGTCAGCAATTGATATGTCAATTCTCTTATAATCCAATGACTCGTCGTTATATATGTTCCACCACTTCTTCACTAACATCTTAATGTCTTCTCTATCCATATTGGCTTCTTTGCCAGTATACCTCCATGGCTTTGATCCCTGATCATCGAAAATAAAAAATTTACCCTTTAAAATTTTCATACTATTATTTATTAATAATACGTACTCACTAAAAAGATCTACAAAATATTCAAATGTTAAAATTCATAAATTAGCTTTATTCTTTAGTTGGCTCATTTGCACCATACATTCAAATTCCTCTTTAAATTTTATTTTTTTGAATTCTTTTCTAATCTAATAGGTCGCTTCAAATCAAATAAATGGGGAAAAAAAAAATTAAGGTCAAGATTAGATAAGGGATCACTCACCGCAGCACAGTAGTGAACAACTTTCACCTTATCAAGCTCAATGTTCTCTGGGTGACGCCACATCAAGGCCAAAACAAGGTTGTACACTGGTGGAATAGGCTTGTAAATTTTCCTAAAGAACATGTTCAAAAAGTCCTGCAAATACAAAAATTCAAACCAAGCACAAAGTAGTCCTTAAACAATTAAGAAGTTAAAATGACAAATTTACCCTCAAAGGAGGGAGAATTACCTGCTCTGCAAAAGGGGTAGGAGGGGTAATTTTGAGGGTCTTCAAGAGGTCATCATAGATAGAGAGATTGGGCTCATAAACAAACATGCCAGCATTGAAGTAAAAAGCAGGTTTGGGACCCAACTCTGCAGGCCACTGGACCTTATTTGGGCATTGTTGACAATACCCAATTTTGTACTGTGGAGTGTGAGACCATGTCTTCTCACAAAAACAATCCATAACTGCATAGAAGTAACCATTTGGCATGTCGAAGAGGTGATCGATGTTGTCATACACTTGAATATCTCCATCCAAGTAGATCATCTTGTGGTACTCCACAAACTGTAATTAAGTACAACAAATATGTGTTATTTCAACTAAAAATATAGTATATACAATTCTTCAATTTGGCAAAAAGAAAAAAATAATGTTACAAGATGATTTTTTTAAAAAAATAAAAAAAGGTGCTATAAATTTAAATTTAAATATGGTATTTTATTAATTACATACAAAATTAGATACATACTTTATCAAAAAGTCAAAGAGGCTCATTTTGAGTTTTGTTAAATAAATTAAACCAAACCTTAAATCCTATCAAATAGAGTCCGCTATATAAATCATTCCTCTCAACTCGACTCTATTTCGACTCTATCCAAAGCTAAGGCCATTTCGTTAGAGTTTTATTAAATAAAAAATTAAAAGAAAAAATTTATTTAGTAATCTTAGAACAATATTTTATATCATTTAGCATGTATTTGTTTTTTTGTTTTTGTTTTTGTTTTTGTTTCCATAATAAATCAACATAAAGAAGTAACAAATCTCAATTTTAACTAATAAAATATAAATTAGAACCCCACATACAGATTTCATATCAATAATTAAAATTATGAATTTTATATAAATTTGTAATAAAATTTTGAAATTGTCATTAATATGTAATTTTCAAAAAAAAAAAGAACAAAAAAGTAATAAATAATGCAGAAACATAGACAGCTCTAAAGATGGGACTCTAGTGATATAAAAATTTAAAAAGAAAAAAAATCAAAACCAAAACATTTCATCACATGGACCCACCACAAATTAGAACACTCTAAAACTTATAAATAAAAAACTAAATTTGCTACTAAACCTCTCATATGTGTGAAACCCATGCGGATGGCAAGTATAGATCCCACACTATTTGATAAAAATTTAATAATTTAATCCCTAATTAACTATTTTTCTAAATAATAACAGAAGTGTTAGTTTGTCGTTCAGTACACGTAAGCAAAGTAGACATGACCAGCAACCTTTTTTTGGGGGGATAACTACTCGTTTGACTTGTAATACTTTTAACTAAAAATTTTAAAAAATTATAATTTATATTCAAAATTAATTTTTTTAATATAACTTTTTTTAAAAAAATAAAAAATTATTTTAAATATATTAAGCTATAAAATCACTGTGTTTCAACGAGGCATAAGTCTGAAAATTAGATGTGATTGTGTAATAGAAATTAAATTTATTTAAATTTAAATTATTAAATGATAATTTTAGATTAATTTCAGTAATTAATATGAATTATAAATATTACTATTTTTATTGTGATCATTTTTCATTGCATATTTATAAAATACAATAATCTTTTTCTCAATTTAAAATAATTATAAATTTATATTTCTATTATATAGCAATCAATAAAATTTTAATAATTTATTTGAAATTCCTAATTAAACATTTTGTAAAATAATAACAACAGTGTTGGTTTGTTGTTCAGTACGCGTAAGCAAAATAGACATGGCCAGCAACTTTTTTTTTTGGGGGGGGGGGGGCTACTCGTTTGACTTGTAACAGCTTTTAATCAAAAATTTATAATTTATATCAAAAATTAATTTTTTTAATACATTTTTTTTGTAAAAAAAAATTTTATTTTAAATATATTCAGTTATTAAAATCATTTGTTTTCAAACGAGACATAAGTCTGGAAATGAGTTGTGATTGTGTAATTGAGATTAAATTTATTTAAATTTAAACTATTAAATGATGATTTTATATAATTTTAAGTAATTAAATATGAATTTATTATATTACTATTTTTATTGTGATAATTTCCATTGTATATTTAAAAAATATAATAATCTTTTTCTCAATTTAAAATAATTGTAAATTTATATTTCTATTATAAAGCAATCAAAGTCCCAAAGTCTCACCTCCCAAATGCGAAGTTTGGAGTAGTTGATGACATAATAGGGCATAGCGAATTGGGTCTGGTTCTCAGGTGGGTAAACCGGTTCGATCTCACGGACTATACACCCTTGCGCCACCAGCATACGGCGGTGCTCCTCCGGCACGTCCGGCAAGATCGCCACCACTAGTGGGCACGCACTCTTCACCTTCCTCAACCCCTTAACCAGCCCCACCACACCCTTCACGTAGTCACCGTCTCCGGCTAAAAACGTCACGTAAGCTTGGCTCGTCAAGCTCGCCGTTTTGCCTAGACCGGTTGTGGTTGACATGGTGGTTGCGGTTACCAGATCAGGAGTCATTTTGGGTTTGATTTTCCTTAGAGAGAGAGAGGGCTGGAAAATGGTTTACTTGGTGAGTTTAGGTCATGGGAGGTTGTGGGTTTATATAGACATTGGCAATGGTTTAAAAATAACTGAATGGTCTAAACACGCGTGTGGAAGAATCTAGGACTACAGGGTCCATGTTGAGATTTGATTAGTACTATTTTTCGTTTAAGTAATACTACAAATTTGTTGTGAGGAAGGTTAAAAATTAAAATTTTGATTTTTTTTTAAAAAAAAAATTACAAAAAGAATAGAGAATTGATGTGATTTAAAAATGTTAAAATGTCAATAAGTTGGCTTTTAACCCAATTGTAAGGGTTCGTTTGGAAAAAAAACTTAAAAAAATAGTTTGACTTTTTGATTTCTTTTCCGTTTGAGGAGAACCTTTTAGCTTCGGTTGAAAATATGAAAAAAAAAAAATAATAATTTATTGACTTATTTGGATCACATCACTTCTTTATTTCTTTTATACATTTTTTTCATTATAAGTCAATAAGCCAAAAAAAAAGACCTACTTTTTTTTTTTATAGAGAAAAAGTGATATAATTATACTTTAGACGTAACATTTTGTCTTATTCACTTATTTAGTCTATTTTATTTTTTTTGTACTTTTTTTAATCCCAACTCACTTCCACACTAAGGCCTATTTTGAGAAGTATCTTTTTTTTGGCTTATTGATTTTTATTTTTTTTAATTTTAAAAACGTACAAACAAGTAGAGAGATGGTATGATCCAAATAAGCCAATAAATTGATTTTTTTTTCCTCTTAATTGCCAAAATATGCCTAAATTGTCAAATGACAGCTTAGATTTAACTATTCAAAAATTATTTAAAATTGTCATCTTGTAATTTAGATTTAGGATAAAGATTGGTAGCTCGAAAATTTACCCCCCCTAATCCCCTAATGCCCAAAACGACGTCGTTTTGGTCATTAGGCTTTTTTTTTCTTTTTTCTTTTTTTTCTTCCATTTTCGAAGCTTTTCGAGCTCAAATACAGATGGGGAAGAGGGAGAGGGAGAGAGAGAGAGGGAGAGCCAAGAGGAGAGAGGGAGACACACACACACACACAGAGGCCCCCCTGCATTCCGACCGACCGTCCGATCGTCGCAGCTCTGCCATCGTCACAGCTCGGAGATGGATCGTCGCAGCTCCAGTCCCTTCTTCTTCCTCCTCCTCCTTCTTCCCTCTGTTCTTCTTCTTCCCTTCTTCCTCTTCTTCTTTCTTCTTCTCTGCTTTCTTTCTTCTTCTTCGTCTCTTCTGATTTTCTGATTGAAAAAAAAAAAAAAAATTAAAACGACGAAACGACGTTGTTTCGTCGTTTAGGAGGGATTCGGGGAGGCTAATTTCGAGCGACGTAGCATTGTTGTTTAGATTTATTTTACACCTAAATTTTATATTTCACAAATTTAATCTCCGCTATACAACTACCATCCCAAAATATGTTAGATGAATATATTTGAGTTAATAGACTTATTTTAGAGATTGACTCATGTCGAGTCCTCTCTCTATAGCTGAGAGCTTTCTTCTCTAGGTTCCACCTAGGGCTTTTTCTGGGTTTATCCCAGTTCTCCAGTGCCCTTTTTTCTCACCTCACAGCTGGTGTTTGTCTGAGCTGACATTTTCTTTCGCGCTCATCCGTTTTGGTCTACCTCCCATTCTCTCTCTCATCACTAACTCTAAACCATTTCTTTACATCACCCTCATCACTAGCTCTAAACCATTTCTTTACCTCACTCTCTTCCCATCTTTTACCCCAATCTCACTCTCGATCTTGGCCCCTTCCCTAGCCCCTAGTGAGTCCGAAAGCTACTATGGTGGTTAACCCTTCCGATGGCCACGATTTTGTTACACTTGAGCTTGAAGAGGGTACTAACGAATGTGAGGATAACTCTTCCTTATGCCTTATTGGGAAAATTCTAACCTCCAAAGCTTTGAATAAGCAAGCGGTTTCTTGTATTCTTCGGGGGCTTGGAAAACAAAAGCCGAGGTTTCCATTACGTCCTGGCTTGGTAATGTTTATCTGTTCAAATTTGGGGATGAAAAGGACAAAACATTTATTTTAAGAACTACCCCTTGGTCAGTTATGGGAAATCTCCTGGTTCTTCAACCTCATTTAATCGGTAAGTCTATCTCAGAGATGAATTTCACTTATTCTCTATTTTGGGTCCAAGTTCATGGTCTCCCTATGGAGAAAATGACGCGTCAGAATGGGCAAATTATCGTTGAAACTATTGGGAAGTTGGTTGGTGTTGAAGCCTCTACTGATGGCTTGTTATTAGCAAAAAGCTTCCTGAGGATAAGAGTGGACATTAATACCTCTCTTCTCCTCCCTAGGGGATTTATGCTCAAAAGACAGAAGCCAAATTCAACTGGAAAGACCGATTTGTATGTCGAGTTCAAGTATGAGCGTCTATCAGACTTTTGTTATGATTGCGGTAGAATTGGCCATGACAACAAGTCGTGCAAGTTTGTAACCCGCGAGGAAGGGAAATTGTCTGGTTATGGCCCTGAGTTAAGAATTGGGGTGGCCAAAAATTTGGGTTAGCGGTTGAATATTACTGTGACCAAATAGATGACTTGGAAGATAATCTACGGCCCATCCTCTCACAAAAGAAGATTACGACACCGACGAATGGGGGTGGCATGCATGGGCGGTCAGAACATGGTTAGGTTAGAACTACAGACATAGTGGAAACACGATCTCCACTGCCTTTACTTCCTCAGCTAGCAGCAGCAGAGCCCTCTATGGGGACACCTGCCTCGCCTTTTCCTACACCAGGGGGGCAGTGCCAGTGAAGACAGGACAAAGTTAATAAATTTGGGTGCCTCTACTTTGTTGAACGAGGAGATTTCTACTCCTGAGGTTCGGCCCCCTAAGCCCATACTCACTATAGTCACAAAGGGGCCCAACACCACCTCTACTCTGATTCCTTCTCGCAATAGTATGGTGCTAAGCCAAAGCCCAAGTGAACCAGCCTACTATGTAACAGAGCCGTCTGATAGCGCTACTTCCCAAATTAGCCCACAAGCCCTCTTCCCTAACTGCCCCCATCCCTCAATTCAGTGTGACACACGTAGCCCTCCTATTAAGCCCATTTCAATCTTTCTTTGTCAGGATGCTCCCGAAAGCTTGTTATCCTCAGCCTTTACTGGACTATCCCTAAAAAGGAAAGCTCCTAATGAGACTTACATTCTCCCTACCCCAACAAAAATCCCTAAGCTGGACTACAAGACCTTAATCGCCCCTCTGTCCTTAGAACCCGTCCCTGTGGCTGACAAAGGCAGCATCTCCAGGAAACAGGAAAAGAGAGGTAGACCGTCAAAGTTCAAGGCCAAATTGAATGATGAAGCTTCGCAGCAGTCGAAACTGGTAGATGTTGTGGTGTATACAGATGTTTCTGGGTTTCTAGATGAGCAGGTTAGGTACTCTCAAGCTCCTAATTCTTACCTCATGGAGAACCCATTGGAGGATACTACACGGGTGGTAGTGGCTGACCCTCAACAACCACAAGCCCAATGTTAATAATCAGCTGGAACTGTCAGGGGATCGGGCAACCCCTGACAGTCCAGACCCTCCGAGGGTTGTGCACAACCCATCGCCCAAGTATTGTTTTCTTAATGGAAACAAAGAACCAGAGATTGAGATTAGAGAGAATTAGACGTAGTTTGCATTTTCCTAACAGTTGCTATGTGGAACCAGTGGGTTTGGTGAGGGATCTAGCCTTATGGTGGACAAATGATCTGGATGTTCATGTCAAATTTAAGGATCACAATTTGATTTGGTGTGTTATTTTGGGCTCAGGTTTAGATTGGTTAGCGACTTTTATTTATGCACCACCACGACCCCAACTGAGAGATGTTGTCTGGAATTATTTAAGATCCATTGCTAGTGAGAACAGCAGGCCTTGGTTATATGTTGGTGATTTCAACGAGATTGGATTGGTCAGGGAAAAGGAAGGTGGAGCATATCCAAGTCCTATGTGAATTGAAAAGTTTCACAAAGTTATGTCGGACTGTGCGTTTTTGGATTTGGAGTTTAATGGGCCTGCGTTTACCTGGTCTAACCACCAAAGTGGCTTGGACAAAGTCCGTGAACGACTTGATAGGGCCGTAGCAACTGTGGAGTAGAAAGAGATGTTCCCATTTGCCCAAGTGCTTCATGAATCCTTTTTAGGTTCCGACCATTGTCCACTAGTCCTTAATATTTGGATCCCTCCAAAGAAAGTCCCTAGACTTTTCAAGTTCGAGTCGATGTGGACTACATCCCCGGCCTGTAAAGAAGTTGTTTTAGCCAATTGGCAGTGTCCTCAAGTAGGATGATCCATGTTTTGTCTAAGCCAAAAGCTGTCTAACTGTCATAGGGGCTTGAAAGAATGGAGTTTGAGAGAGTTTGGAAATAATAAGGTGAAAATTAACATTCTAAAAGGCCAACTGGCAAATCTTCAAGCTCAACCGTCTTTAGTGGAGAATGATTAGGCCCAAAGAAGTGTTCAGGCGGAATTAGAAGTCATCTTCCCTCGAGAAGAGATGTACTTGTATCAGTGGTCTCGAGTTCGTTGGCTACAGTGTGGCAACAAAAACTTCTCTTTCTTTCATGCCTCACTTACTCAACGGTGGCAGCGTAATCAACTAGTTCAATTGCTGGATGAGAATGGTATCTGGTTAACCTCGGATGCTGATATTGATTCCCATTTGTTTAGTTATTTTTCCACCATTTTTAAGAGTGATCAGGCAAGGGATTTGGACTCACCTCTTTCAGTAGTGGGGCTTCTTGTCACTGAAAATATGAACCGGATGTTAACTAAACCAGTCACTAATTCGGAAATCAAAGTTGCTGCCTTCCAACTTGGCTCATTAAAGGCCCCAAAACCTGATGGCTATTCGGGTATTTTCTATCACAAATACTGGGATGTGGTGGGTGCAGATGTCCGTGAGGCAATCAAAAGTTTTTTTACTACTGGACACCTCCCGCAAGAGTGGAATCATACAAATTTAGTGCTAATTCCCAAGGTCCAAAATCCTGAGACATGTTC